TTCTTTCAGCATGTATTCAACCTTCTCCTTCATTTCTATTTCCTCCGATGTTATCCACTTTATGGAAGGTCTAATGCAGAGAATGTTGCGTACAGTAACAGCATGACATTCCATGCATTAAATGACATCACTCTGGAACAGATTAAAAATAAATGTTTGTCTTCACCTGTGATTATATAAAACTGTGATATAAAACTGTGATTATATAAAAAATAAAACATATTTTATAATTATTGTTATGTCGTCTTATTTTGGACGTTGTTTTCTTCTGTCTCTTGATATCAGATATACAGTGCATCTAAAAGAAATTAATAAATCAAAACGCAATTATAAACGTATTATTTACGTTATATTTGTTGAAATAATAGAGAATGTATAAAATGTTCATATAAATATGTAAACATGTGAAACAAACAAAAATTATCTCATCAATTGATAATAATTATAGTAGGACCTCACAAGTATGTCCGTCGGACCATCAATATCGTTTATCACAATTACAAGTAAAGCTACAATAGTCTTCTCCTATATTTTTATAATATAAATAACCGTTTCAAAATTATAGAAGTACTTTTTTTTAGAAGTACCAACATATAAACGTATAACAGAAATATTGTTAATACGCTTAAGCAAGTTAGCATGATGTGACCGTTCTTTACTAATTGTTTTATCGTTTAAATATATTTGATTAAGGATGTTTGTATTGTCCGTACCAAATTAATAATAAAAAAATTTTCCAAAAATTGGTGCTAATATTGTATATGAAAATGACACTCAAAGTTTTAGAATAATTAAGAATCTAGATTAAATATTGTTTCATTTATTTTAATAAAAAAAAGTAAATTATAAAAATTAAACGTTAAAGCCAAGAAATGCTATTTAACTATATCGTACACATATATCATACATTTTTATACAGAAAACAGAAATAATATTAATCTATTTCTAACTTCTTGTTGGGACTATACGGATGAAGCATCCTTCATAAACACCTTACATAGTTACTGTTTCGCTAACAAAAAAAAAAGAAACAGTATACACATCTTCGATTGACATAACTGTATTTCTTTTTTGTCTAAAGTAGCATAAGAATATTTTTTACGTTTCAACACTTATCCATTAATAAATATATTCTACAATTTAACTATTGCTCTATTTTATCTCCTTTTCAATACTAACTGAATAAACTATTATTATTTCAATAATATAAAAGTGAAGAGTGACAAGCGTAAAATAATAATACAAGTTAATAAATACTTACATAATTTCAGTACATTATGATATATAACATACTATATAACGGTTACTGTACAACGCACAGTTCGTATATAACACACAATTCTTCACAGTACCAACTCACGAAACGAAATGCGCGTTTTGAAATGTTGCGGACATTTATATAGAGTCTAAATTGTACGCAGTACAATGAAATGACTAAATTAAACTTCG